CCTCTGCAGAGGATCAAAATTGTGATGGCATGTCTTCGGATCATCCTCAGGGATGTTTCCCAGACCGTCGCCAATAGCCCATTGGGCAGCTCTAGTGCGACGTAAATGAACTACAACAACAAATATAAGTGTGAATTATTTAGCTATGTATTGATACTCAATATTTTTAAGAGAGATTCTCCAGAGATTTTTATATTCATTCTAATTATTTATATGTAGTTGAGGACATAATCACACATAAATCAAATTTGTTAAATGAAGATAAGAAATATTAACACACATTTATTACGACTTAAGAAATAAATATTAAAAAAGAAAGATCTTCGGGGAAAATCAGGCGATTGGGTAGCTTGGTAAAAAAAATTGTGATCAAAACCGGAAAACATTTGCGAATTGGAATTTATTGTTCAAAATACCACTTTAGCGTTTAGGGATCAAACAGCATTAAGAATATTGCCTTTAAAAACTTGCAGTGTGAAAATATTGTCATTTTTTCATTTCCGTTATCACTTTTTAAAATTTGTATTAGTTTGCCTCGTGTGAATTTATTGTTCAAAATGCCACTTCAGCGTTTAGAGATTAAACAGCCTTAAGAATATTGCCATTAAAATCTTGCCATATAAGAGTATTGTCGTTTCATTTCCGTTATCACTAGATAAAATTTTTATTTGTTTGCTTACTCTGAGAATCCTATATATGTTCTAAAGCAGATGTTTTCTACATATTATTGACCATTTTATTAGCGGTCAATTTTTATTAGTAAATTTTTACAGCAAAATCAAGAGAAATTTTTTTAATTTTAACAATATAATAGTTAACATAATTAACAGTTAATTATAACTGATAATTTTTTAAACAAAATTATTACTTGAATGATCCAATTCTATCAAAATGAGAAAGTATTTAAAAAATTAAAAATTTATAGGCCAATATTACAATTGGAAAAGGCATATCATCTCTTATCCCGATATTGGTGTATGATCTATTAATATATTATCTGTAAATTGTTACACACGATCTTTGAAATTAATGGATCAATTAGATAAATTACTTAATTTCCAATCAATTTCATAATAAACAACACCATCTGGCCATAACTCTGCTGGATCAACAACAGCATTCCGATCCTGAAATAAAAACCAAATTTGAATAAAAGTAAATAAAAAAAATTCCCATTAAATATTTAGTTGCATTTGATTATTTTATTAATATAAAAATAAAAAATTTTGCTGTTTTCTATTGTTTGAATCGAATTGTATTTAAGCAAAATTAGAATAACTAAACTGCGTGTGAGCTTCTTTGAAAAAATTGGCCGGTGCTAATCGCATATTTGGTGCGGTTTGTCTCGTTCAAGCTACCCGCACAGCACATCGTCATGCAGGTGCACTATCTTCTGAAAAGCGTAACTAATTGTAGATGCTGCTGCCATCTATACTTAAAAATATGACATTTTTATAAGGCAACGCAAAAGGGTTAGTAGACAGGTATACCGAGCATATGTTTCAAAAGTTCAATTACGACAACTTTTTTCTATTAAATAATATTTAATATTGAATTTAAAACTTCATAAAATTGACTTATTTGTAGCTCAAAAACATGCACATTAAACAACCACACCAGGCCTGAACAAAAACCATAGCTTCCATCTTTTTTTGAATCAATAAGGCTCACTTTTGATCAACAGTGTTTTCATTGTCAAGGTGGTCCAAGGTTTCGACGTTCCGGCAAGGTTTACGGCATTATCGAGGTGATCCAAGAGGAAGACCCTTCAATTACCATAATGGGACTTGAAGGAATCACCTTGAATTGGGACATTTAAATGCGATCCACAACTTCTCGTGGTTCAACCAGTTAACAATCATGTCTAGTACATGGGGAAAGTACGTGGATGGATCTAAAGGTCTGGTTTCTTAGGACAAGCGCCTTATCTGGGCGTCAGCGGGACGTCAACGTCACGCTGACGCCAACAAAATACTGGTTTGTTAGCTCAAGGCCTGGTTTCTTAGAACTAGCGCCTTATCTGGGCGTCAGCGGAAAGTTGACGTAGATCTGACGCCAAAAAAATACTTTTTTGTTAGCTCAGCGTGAGCAGTCGGTCCAACGCAGACATTATCTCTCATTGCGCATGCGTTAATAACGTAAACAAATATTTATTTTGAATTTGTATTGATTTTGTTATTGTCG